AAAAAAAAAGCAAATATGTTTTTTTTCTATTAAATATTCCTAATCTTTAAAGGTGAAAATACTAAAGTACTCTCACTATTCACTCAAATAACGTCTCAGAAAAAAATCATGTAATATATTTCACGAAGCGCCTACCGGATTTATATAAGCTACCTACTTTATTAACGTTCAAAGAAAGTATTATCCCTTTTATGCGTATCCAATTATATTTTAACTTATTTGAGTTTGTTCCTATTAAAGAAAAAAAGGTAAACAATATAAAATAACAACCAATTTTTATAGAATATACTTATAAGTACCTACACGTGAAGCCTTTTTTAACGAGTAGAAAATTTCCATTAATATCATCACATATCGAACCCATACATCGCCAATTTTATTTATAGTAAATTACACCCACTGAGGAAAGATCCTCAGTGGGTGTATTGTGCTTTAAATAAAATTGGCGAACAAATTGATAGCCAATCTTATGATATATGATAATCTTCGCTAATATTCTTCAACAGGGTAACGGATATCACATTTGAGATTACAATGCCATAAAACACCCTTTAACCGTAACACTGCTTATAAAGCGAAATTAAATTGACTATTATATACGTAAATGTAATTATGAGTTAATATATATACTTATTGTTTCTGTTACTAGCTGTGTCCGCGGTTTCACCCGCGAGAAATTTATAGCCTATATGTTATTCTGATGTATAATCTATATTATTGTAAAGTTTCATTAAAATCCATTTAGTAGTTTTTGCATGAAAGAGTAACAAACATATATCCATCCATTCACACTCACAAATTCCGTAATAGGTTTTGAAATAAAAATAATTCATGGCTATTCATTTATTAGCATCAACCTGTATAAAGTCAAGTAACGTTCGAGTAAGTGTGATTGAAGACCTATCCGAAATTGATTTTGATTGAAATTAAATAATGTCTTTGCAAAGTGATTTCGTAAACAATAATTACAAATCCGTTATCATCGACGAATTTGACATAATGAACTGAGTAATGAAAAGTAAATTCATATTGTCTGAGAGAAGTCTGTCTTTGATTCATTATTAGAAGAGATAATTAATTTTATTCAGTATTCTATTCAATTTTAAAATTAAAAAGAAGCGCATGCTATTATCCGAAATGAGGTAGTCAACACTGTTATCCATTGCAGTTCTAATAAATATTACATTCGAAATCAAAATGTGTCTATCCATTTGTTTGACTGTTTCTTGTGTCTTTCCATAAAACGATTAAACGAATCTTGGTTAAATTTTACGTAAAGATAGACTGTGTCACGAGAACATGTATATACGTATATACATGTATATATGAACTCCGTCTGTTTTTTTTATACTATGATATAGGCTATATCATAGTATAAAAAAAGCAGACGGAGTTATGGTTTACGTAAAAGAGAGCGTGAGAGAAAGAGAAAAAAAAAGATACCTCTCCTTTCTCCATCAAGGATTACATGTCATGAATCAGTCATGAATTCAGGAAATTTCCATATCTTCTAGAAGAGAAGAAACATTTTCATCGGACACTGATCTTTACTTTCAAAAAGATCGTATTATCACGATAAAACAGCATAAATGATGCTCTCGAGCTTCTATTAGCAGTATCATTAGCAAACGTCCATCAATCAATGAGAAATGCTGACTGTAACAAGTATGATTATATAAAAAGGGAAAGAAAATAAAAGATGAAAAAGATAAGGAATTCTTGTAAAGGTTTTACCGCTGTCATGTAAGGATTACTTTGCGGAGTAAACCCGTAAACTGGCGTAACTTTTAATATTATGGCAATTAGGTTCTTATTTGAATTTCGAATTATTTGAGATCGTGATGAGTTGGGATGAATTTTGTGTATCCGGGCATTTTTACTGTTTCATTAAGTCCTCTTATATTTAAAACTTGTACAAATGAAGAGCAATTGGTTGACATGACTACAATTATTATGTAATATTTTTGTTTGAAGAGTGTAAAATTCCCATATTTTAATTAATAATGTATTTGTACCAGGTTTAAGATACAAAAAGTAATCCTTATTAATATTATAAATGCAAAAGTAATTCTGTCTGTCTGTCTGTCGCACTTTCAGGCCAAAACTACTGAACTGATTTAAACGATAATTGGTACACAGATAGTCTAAACTCTGAGAAAGGACATAGGCTACTTTTGAATGCCTTTATGGTTTTACAAAGTTCAAAGGGTATATAAAAGGTTGTATGGAAGTATCATCATTTTGAAAACTAGAAGCTAGAAACGCATTGTTTTAAACGGTTGGTTAAATATAAATATGACATTTAAAGTTTTAAAAATTTTATCTTTAAAAATAAAATAGGGTTTGAATGTTTGTATAGAAATTTGAAATGTTATTTTTGAAGCCGCAACAATGATTCTGTTATATTTGGCTCTTTTGGGTTAGATATTATTTAATTTCTTTATTGGTTCAATCGAGGCGGACGAAGTCGCGGTCACTGCTTGTCTTATATATATTTTTAATGTAATGAATTGGTTTATTCTAATTACGTAAAAAATATATAATGTTCTAAAATTAAAATTGCAGCGTTCATAATGATTGAAGCAAAATATGAATAAGCCTCGAAAACGTGAACTAATTAATAAAGAATTAACTCAAAAGAACTGCGATTATTTTATTTAATAAGTTTAGTTATAACGCCGTTAACCGAACGACTCTCTAGAACGAAATTAACCTTCGGAAGGCCCTGTTGTTGGCAAGTCGTTTTACAACGTCCCCTAACCTCCTGAAAAATGATTATCGCTGAAGTTCAGTGAAGTAAAATTTTAAAACAGAACTCTCTCGCTTTAACTGAGTTTTGACGAAGTCGGGTCTTCGTTTATAGATGATTAAAATAATATAATGCTTGGGAATTAACAATGTAGGTACAAAAAGTTATTTTATTTCATAAAAATAAACCTACTACAATTGATTGACAAATATTGCGTAGTTCAAATGGGAAGACAGATTGATGTCAGGTAAATAATTTCACCTTGAATATCATCATGGTTGACTAAGCGACTTGATTTCATCCTTCACTTCCATTTTATATGCAATCATTATAAAGAAGACTTCGAAGAAGACCACGGGAAGTCGAAATAATTATAGTACAAAAATTAATTTAAGTTTTATTAATATCGTTTGAATTACTTCTACTACTACTACTGTCTTGTATATTATTAATCTTATTAATATTACAAGCTGTACACGCGACCACGTCTGCGTAGAATTTTATTTTATTTTTCTAAAATAAAGGTAGCCTAAGTTACTTCTTATTACATCAGCTACCTGCCAATAAAAGTCCCGTCAAAATCGGTCCAGCCATTTCAGGGATTAGCCGGAATAAACAGACAGACACAAAAATTGTAAAAAATGTTATTTTGGTTCATATGCATGTAGTAAAAATGGTTATTTCAATATTACAAACAGACACTCCAATTTTATTGATATATATAGATATACGCGAATATTTATGAGTATGGATAGGTAGATGGATGGACAGGTGTTTGTTACTCTTTCACGCAAAAATAACTAAACTGATTTTGATAATACTTTACAGTAATATAGCTTATATCAGAATAACACATAGGCTATAAATTTCATGCTGGCGAAACTTGGGTAAAGCTAGTATGCATGTATTTATACAGAATTTTTTAAATAAATATTCGATACTAATGGATGGTGAACAAACCGCACTTGTTAGCACGTGCAGTATTTCATACAGGCGTCGCGCGACGCTTGACACGTTTTCACTTTTGCCCCGGGCGCCCCAGTATCAAAACGGAAAGCACTTTTCTGTACGCAGTGGAAAATACTTTTTATTTTTAAATGCGGCTTTGAGAAGGTCAAGTGTCGGTTTTAGTAGGTTTTTCTTTTTCACTTTTCATTTGAACATTCACGTGCGATTTTCTTCTTGTTGGATAGGTTGCTCAATTTTGAGGAACGAATTAGTTTCCACAATTTAGAAATTTACATTTGTTTTTTTATGAAAGTTGGTGCTTTTCTTAAGGTCACAAATTTTAACAAGGTGTGATCAATAGTTTATGAGTTATCTTTGATAAGGCAATTGAAGCAAGTTGTTTCGTGTAGACCTATAATCATTATAATAATACGTAGATGCTTGAATTAATATTTATTGGAGTCAGACATAATATTTTCATGGCCTCTATACAGTTTCCAATACAATTAGTTAAAAAAAATTATTTTTTTATTTGTTAAAAAAATTTCCCTTTTAACCCTTTTATAGCATTCAAAAGTAGCCTATGTCCTTTCTAAGGGTCTACACTAACTGTACCAAATTTGTCAAAAAATTATTTTCAAATATTAATTTATTATCAAAAATTAAATCGGTTCCGTAGTTTTGGTGTGTAAGTGAAACTGACAGACAGAGAGACAAATAAAGTGACTTTCACAGTTATAATAATAGTGGGGTATTTTATAAACTAACCCAAAAAAAACAAATTGAAAATGTTTCATAGATCTGACTTCAAAAATGATGAATTTACCTAAAAACTTTCATCCCCTATTTTATTTTACCCCCTTAAGTATAAAAATTTTAAAAACTTTGAATATCATATTCATTCATATTTAATCATCAGCCTAAAATAAAAGCTTCTAGCCTTAAATATGACGTTACAATATTTCATCCCGAATTTCAACCCCTTACAACTCTTTATTCGCATTAAAAAGTAGCCTATGTCCTTTCTCAGGGTCTAGACTATCTATGTACCAAATTTCATTTAAGTCGGTTCAGTAGTTTTGACGTGACAGCGATACAGACAGACAGTTACTATCGCATTTATAATATTAGTATGGAGTATGGATAAATCAAGGAAGTCAAAAGAAAGTCTTATTTAAACATATTATTACTGTCAGGGTAATAATTTTCTTAAATGAGACTTTCTTGTATATCTGGTAGTTCATCAGGTTGTTTGTAATTCAAGTTCATTGAATTTACAAATATAGAAACATAATATACTCACGTGGTACATTTTCCAGCAGTTGCGGCCGCGATTTGAAGCGCTAGAAGCACTACTACAGCGGCCATCTTGCGCAGTCAGGTCAGCGCATTTCCTTACTCGCCGGATATTGCGGTCCACAAGTTTGTATCTGTAAGAACATTTTTCCGTTTAATCCTCGACTTGGCTCTAGTGGATACAAGTTGGCATCAGTTTTAAACTTGCGCCAACTAGTATAAAGTTGAAAATAAGGCTTGATTTTTATTGAATTAAGTAAATACTTTGTTGGAATACGTAAAGTAGTTCAGTAATGTTAGTAGCTAATGGGTAGAAACACTTTGTACGCGTGTACATTTGTAGATCGCCCTTTAAAGATGGTTATCAAACGATATCGAGAAATAGCATCTACACGACGCAACCTATCACCTGATTAATGAATTAATTAATAAAATTGTAGGCTGGCGGTATTGAAAAACTTCAGAAAATTAATTATTGCCCTTCTTGGTAAGTGCTCAACTTTTGTCTGTCTATATGCTAATGTTTAACAATATGTTCCATGAAAAATATATAGTAATTTCTATAACAATTTTTACTTAAAAAATTAAAACGTAAACAGTTTCGTCTTGTTTAAATCTCGATAAAAAGATAATAAAGATTAAAGTTTATGAAGGTAATATCCAAATAATTTATCTTTTCGACTACTGGAAACTAGAGAATATGAATACACACTCATCTCTTAGATAACTAATTAAATCTGTCATTAGATAACAATTTTTTTGTTGTCTAACGTAGTGACCATTACGCACCCTCCTACCTAATTAGTAAGAATAGAACAGAATGGTAGCAACAGCAAGACGTGTTAGATTTATTATTTACTACATTTACATTTTTATGAGAATAGTTTCAACTTATCAACTAATACCCTTGGAAATAGATGTCGTCGATGGTCTAATTTTGAATTTAAAAATGAATCTATATTTTTATAAACATGCAGAAGCACGTTTGAAAATAATAAGAGTTGAGTTTCTTATTAGTTCTTACTAGCTCATATACTCTCCGAACTGACGATTGTTTTTGACGTATCATAAAAGTCTGTAATAGACCTATATGAATAAAGATATTTTGATTTCATTTGATTTGGTATAACGGGAATATTTTATATAATAAAATATAATAATAAGCAATTTGAATAAAACTTATTACTCAGATAGATATAGATTTATAATATTGGTAAAGACTTCTCTGCACAGATGTGTACATAAACTTGGCACTGTTGAAACTAATACGTTAATTTCGTAACTTTGCCGTGTGTCCAAGTTTGCAACCAAGTTTGAGAACATATTCTGAGAGATCTACATAGTGTATACCTATAAGTTATAAGTTTATACAGGAATATTCTGAGGAGTGAAGAAGTTAAGATTACGTAAGGATAGAAAACTGATTATGGTGCCTATGTATATTGACCCTTTAAATAAGGTGTCATTTGAGTCGTCTCCTGGTGATAAAAATATGTAACATACATTCCAAATTTCATTATTACTAAGAGTTCTACTGAGAAGTATGAGTAAGATGTGTTTTTAATTATATATCTTAGTATGTTAATGACAGAGTAACGAAGTGTAATCAAATCAAATTCATTTATTTATACTGCAAATAGACGCTTAGGGGCTGCGACTTAGGAGCACTATATTTAGAACGTGATGTTTTAAGTTTTTTGTATTAATATTTTTTTCCTACTATACAGTAATATCTGTCGTGATGGTGATATTCCTGTATATAGGCGAAGGTTATCATCATCAGGTGGCCCCATTAACTTTTTATTATTTGTGTCATTAAAAAAGGAAAACTATCCGCATAATAAAAAATCACATATCACATTCTGCTACTTGTAATATTCTTTACATATTATTATGATTGAGAATAACTGAAAAATACTTTTAATATATCCATGTCTCTATAGACAATGGCTGTGTTTTCAATCAGATAGGCCATCCGCCTGTTTGATATTCCCATCGTTGTAAAAAATTCAATTTACTCGACTATTACCGGGCCGATTCCGACACTTTGCTACTCGGACAGATAAAACATTATTACTAAGTAAATAAACTGTGAAATGAGCTCATCTCACATGGATGCTGCGTTTTCGATTACATCTGCTATGTCTTGGGAGCACTTAAACTTGGTAAAACCGTATTTATGATACATAAAACTGTTTTACAACTCCGTGGAATGCGTTGACCTAATATAGGTTAAAGTTTATAGAGGTCTTACACACGGGAGTATTTGAATCGCTGCGAATTAGTTAGGCAGTAACCTACAGCTGCTATACTATGGATACATATATATATAGGCGAAAGATTATATCTACATGTAATTTGTAAACTCATAGAATATTACCTGCTACTCTCGATTTTGTCTACTAGTTTTAGACAGAGAAAACTTATGTGTGTGTACTTGTCCTTGTGACCAGTGTGTGTCTAGTCTATCTTTATGTTAAATTTCATCAAGATCCTTAGAGAAGAAGATCATCCATTTAGTCATAAAAAGGACAAATTTTCGTTTTTTTACTACTAGTACTGATGCTCGTAACTAGATTATTATGTATAAATAATTACTTACTAGTGACGTACACATCTCCATCTAACTGTAGATCAGGCAAAGTTTATTTATACCTATCTACGACGTCTAATAGCATTAGAAGTCTGATATAGAATACGTATGTACATATTTTTTATAAATAATAGAAAAACTTTTAAAACATTACACACTTAAAACAATATAAATATAGGTATTCTTTTCATTTAGACTAATTATTGGCATAATTTACACCTGATTTCTATGTGTATTATTACACATGTTACACATTTCGTTAGGTATTCGTGATTCAAATAATCCAACATAACAGAGGACAAACCTACTACCGTCTCTCAGAATAGTTTTCATTTTTTCTTTCAGCGGAGAGTCAATCAAGAAAATAAAATGACAAATAAGTTTCTTGCTGTTGACCAGATTTGAACTCACAACCTCTTGGGTGTAAGTCGGGGCGTAAACCACTAGACCACGATGCTCACATATATTTTAATAATAGTAATTGGACACGTAAGAAAAAAATCGTTTGATACAACATAATTTCAAGCCAATAAATAAGTTTACATCATCATCTGCTTCTTCCTTATCCCATTTATTTGGGGTCGGCGTAATATGTTTTTCTCTTCCATTCATCTCTGTTCGCAGTCATTCCGTTATTTACTCCCTTTCTCACCATATCATCTTTCACACAGTCCATCCATCTCTTTTTCGGTCTTCCTCTACCCTTATAACCATCCACATTCATATGTAACACCGTCCTTAGGATATGATCTTCATTCCTATGCATTACATGCTCATACCACGATAGACGATTACTCTTTAACTTCTCTGACATCGGTGCCACTTTCATACTTCCTCTGATGTATTCATTCTTTATCTTGTCTATCCTCGTCACACCACACATCCATCTCAACATTCGCATTTCAGTTGCATGCAGTCGTCTCTCATCCGTCGCCTTTATGGGCCAGCACTCTGATCCATACAAAATAGCAGGCCGGATCATGGTCTTGTAAATTTTGCCCTTAAGTTTAAGGGGAACTCGTGAGTCGCACGTCGTCGCCGTAACCTGCCGCCACTTCATCCAACCTGAGTTAATCCTGTGTTTTATGGTTCGGTCTAATTCGCCATTGCTTTGGAGGAGTGAACCTAAATACCGGAAATCGGAGCAGACCGGCAATGGAGCCCCATTTAGTGATATGGCTGCAGAGCCAGAAAGACCGCCAAAGTCGCAAAACATGTATTCCGTTTTGGAATTACTTATCTTTAAGCCACCACTTTCCAGCTTTTGCTGCCATATCGCCAATCTACTCTGTATCTCAGCTCCCTCCTCACCAACGAGCACAATGACATCTGCAAATAGCATGCACCAGGGTGCCTCTTCTTGTATCTCCGACGTCAAGGCATCCATTATCTACAAAAAGAGGTACGGGCTTAAAGCCGACCCCTGATGCAAGCCTACAGGCACACTGAACTCGCTGGTATTTCCCGCGGCCGACCGAACGTATGTACGAGGTTGACTGTACATAGCACGAATCAACTCCACATACTTCACTGGCACTCGTCTATTTTTCAGGGCCCACCACAAAACCGGTCTGGGTACTTTATCGTACGCCTTTTCCAGGTCCACAAACACCATGTGCAAGTTCTTGTGAGCACGTCTGTATTTTTCACACAGCTGGCGCAGTGCAAATATGGCATCTGTGGTACTTCGGCCTGGCATAAATCCAAACTGGTTTTGGGTGATACTAGTCTCATCACGCAATCGCTTCTCTATCACTTTCTCCCATACTTTCATACTGTGAGACATGAGCTTTATTCCTCGATAATTATTACAATCCTGTACATCACCCTTATTCTTAAAAATGGGCACTAGTGAACTATTGCACCATTCCTTAGGGATCGCCACTTCCTGCAATAATTTATTAAAGAATAAAGCTAACCACTTGCATCCATCTTCTCCTAATAATTTCCAGACTTCTGCTGGTATGCCATCTGGCCCAACAGCTTTCCCATTCTTCATACTTTTCACTGCTTTCCTTACTTCATCCGTACCAATCTCATTTACTACACCGATGTTTACCGAGACATCTTTTGTAGGCTCATCCCACAGATTCTCTTCATTCATAAGTTTTTCAAAATATACCTTCCAACGTGTTTTTATGTCGTCGTCTTTTAACAAAATTTGGCCTGTATCATCTTTTATACATTTCACATGCTTCATATCTTTCGCTCTTTCTTCTCTCATTTTTGTGATCCTGTATAGTTCTTTTTGACCACTGTGGTCATCAAGTGACTTGTATATTCTATCTAATGCCCTTGTTCTGGATATTGCTACTACTTTTTTTGCTTCCTTTTTAAACTTATTATAAATTATCTTTTTCTCTTGTTTCAGACGATCATTCTCTATAGGTACCTTTTGCCAATCTTTAAAAGCATTCTTCTTTTCTTTTAATATCTTTTGCATTTCTTCAGTCCACCACCATGTATCCTTATCTATTATGCCCTTTC